TTCCTAAGTCTCAAAACTATTTCAAAGTATTAAATGTATATCTACGTATCTTTACACATTGGAGTGAGGTTACTTAGCATAATCGCTAATGGTTTCAAACTGTTTTCAGGTATGAAGTAGTCCAGCTTTGAGAGCGCGATAGTTCGAGACTAGCATCTGCCTTGTAGTTAGATTCCTTAGTTTGACTCTGTTTATTGGCCTGTGAGCCTACGCTAGACTTATACTGTTGAGACTAGTACTTGTTATGTTGTTTGGTTTGAGGTTTTTAGACTAGCCTTAGCATTTGGGTTCTGTGTGACCTAAATGTGGCATATTATTCCCGATTACTTGAATTAGCTTTCGCAGTTTTTAATTCAGACCTAGTCTTTATCTACCTATCTTGCCAGTTTATTGCTTTAAGTTGAATTTAGAAATCAGGGGTGTTACAACAAGGGTGTCAAAAAAAAAAAAAAAAAACAATTATTTATGGGCATGCCGGGTGCGCGGAATGTGCACCAGGCAATTTTTTTTTTCTTCTCCTCCCGAGTGTTACAAAAAGTCCAAATTTATGCAAATACAAAATTTTCTTCACTTCTCTTTTCTTCCCTCACCTCACCTCTTCTCCATTACACCTAAGCAAAAAAACTTGAAAAAAAAAAACCTTTAGTGGGGATGTCTAATGGGATAATCAAATTCTTGAAATAATTAAAAAAATGTTATCTGTATCAAATATTTAGTATTACCTATATACCTGATGTGGTAAATTCTACCAGGTATATGTACTCGTATCTTGTTGAGTAGTATAATTGAGATTTATGGCTCGGATTACAAGGGCCGAGGGCTGGAGCTCGGAGGTTCCCGAGCTCCTAAAGGCTTCTAGAGAGATAGCCAAAAGTGGCCCCTTCACAAGCGGCTCGCGTGGTATTTATAGAGGATTGCAGGGGATCGGAGCACATGTCGGACGACTGGCATGTACGCCACGTGTCCTCCATGAACTCGGCAGCTAAGGAGAAGCGTACACATGTAAGAGTATATCTGATTAGCCAATTGCTATTGGGCTCGGCTCGAGTGCTACTTTCGCCCTAGCTTGACCATTGAGCGTCAAGTGTTGGTGCTCAGGATCTCATCCAAGTAATCAGGTCGGGACCGAACACAGGAAGGTAAAGGCATAGGCTCATTAAGCCACGGAGACGTCCAACCATCAGGTCGAGTCGGTTAGGTATGATATTCAGGTGGGGTCAAGTCGGAGAATGACTCTCGTCTTGTGTTGACTCGTATCGAACCATGTCCTCAGTATAAAAAGGGTACATAGCCGGGATATATTCCCTATCAATACCAAATGATGATATTTTATATATGAATCGAGTATAACAAATTGACAACCCTTCTTATTACTCAATTCATTAGTTATTGTGAATTTGTGACCATACTTAATACAAGTTAAACACCTAAAAACACGTCACCATATGTAAGATGTATCCTAAAATTTTTGAGAATGCCGGAGCATTGTGACATTGTCCTTAAAGAAATGCACGTTGTCACATGAGCCAATCTCTCTCTCTCTCTCTCTCTCTCTTTCCCCCTCCCTCTCTCTCTCTATACAGATATGATGAACAAGCAATGAGAAGAAATTACATGCACACACACATATATATATATAGTTGGTAGATTTTGTCTTGTGTCTGCAGAAAGTACGTGCATTAACGTAACCAATTAATATAATTGAAGCAATCGCAATAAACATTATGAATCCACAATGATATGATTTGTTGATAGAGTTGTTTTGTGGCCGGAAAAAATGGCGTCTATTTCCTCTTCTTCTTCTTCCTCCTCCCGTTCTTGGTTGTTGTTTGATACTAGTGCTCCGCTGGCAAGCCTGAGCAAGATATTGTTAATCTCCGGCGTAGTTTTGTACATAGGAATCATTCTCCTCCCCAACATCCCATCGTGTCCGTCCCCGTCGGAGATAATGGTGTCTCCGACGAGAGTGGCGGTGGATCAGGCGGTTCCAGCGGGAGGGAGGACGGAATCGCGCGATCCAGGTCCGCGTGTGGGCCGGACGAACCTGAGCCACCTGATATTCGGGCTGGTGGGGTCGGAGAACGCGTGGCACCACCGGAAGGCGTACGTGGAGTCGTGGTGGCGGCCGAACGTGACGCGGGGGTTCATATACCTGGACAAGGAGCCGACGGGGGAGCTGCTGCCGTGGTCGCCGTGGTCGCCGCCGTACCGGGTGTCGGACAACATAACTAGGATAGTGGAGGTGACGGGGCACGTGGACTCCACGGTGGCGCGGATAGTTCACGGGATCATGGAGGTGTTCCGGGATTGCGAGGGGGAAGATTCGGATCGCGGGCTCCGGTGGGTGGTGATGGGCGACGACGATTCTATCTTCATGGTGGATAATATGGTGGAGCTTCTCGCGGGGTACGACCATACAAAATACTATTATTTTGGGGGGCATTCCGAGTTCGTATTGTCCAATTTTTGGTACTCTTTTAACCAAGGATTTGGGGGGGCTGGTTTCTTGCTTAGTTACCCTTTGGCTAAGGCCCTTGCAAAGGGCATCGAGTCCTGCCTCAAACGTTACAATCAATTGAGGGCCGCAGATTCTACTGCCATGGCTTGCATTGCTGATCTTGGAGTAAATCTTTCACCCGTTCCAGGCATTCATCAGGTACATATATATATATATATATATATATCAATCATTATGCTATGCATCTGTGTGCACCATACATGGTGCATGCAGATGCAAAAACGACGTCGTTTTGACTAAAAACGCGCATTCTACTTAAAAAAAAAAATCAGTTTCAATTCCCCTCAACAGCATTATGTTGTTTATTCATTCTGGATTTTTAGTTCATAGATTCTGGATTTTTAGTTAATTGATTCTGGATATTTAGACGGAAATCGAAACTGATTTTTTTTTTTTTTTTTTTTTCATTCATGATGGATATTTAGTTCATTCATTATGGATATTTAGTTCATTCATTCTAGATTTTTAGTTCATTGATTCTAGATATGTAGTTCAAATTATGCACAACATAATGTTATTGTCGAAAATCGAAACTGAATTTTGTTTTTTTAAGGTGGGACACACGTTTTTATTCAAAATGACATCGTTATTTTTGCATCCGTGTGCACCATGCATGGTGCACACGGATGCACAACATAATTTGCCTAAATATATATACAATCTCTTATTTTATTTGACGGTCCTTTAATATTGGATGCTGAACTTGACCCTTTTACCGGCCTTTATTCAGATGGACCTTCGAGGTGACGCATCCGGGTTCCTGTTGGCCCACCCGAACGCCCCACTGATGTCCCTCCACCATTTCGACATGATCGAGCCCATCTTCCCATTAATGGACAGAGCCCAATCGGCGGCGCACTTGATGTCGGCGGCCAACATGGATCAGACTCGGATTCTCCGGCAGACAATCTGCCACCACCGCGTGACGAACTGGACGTTCTCGGTGTCGTGGGGGTACGGAGTCCACATCTACGAGAAGATAATGCCTCGGAGCTTCTTGCAGAACCCGATTGTGAGCTTCAAGGAATGGGCGCCCAGCCCCCACCCCCCGCATTGGATGTTCGATGTTCGCCAGCCCCCCAACGATCCCTGCGACTCTCCCCATGTTTTCTTCCTCGAATCTGTGAAGAAAACCCCCAACAAAAACCGCATCCTTGCCACCTACAAGCGTCAATGGCGTCGAAAGCTCCCTCCTTGTGCCTTCACTGGGAATCACTCTGCGGATTATGTTTTCAGGATTCGGGTCTATAGCCCCGCCGCCAAACGCCCCAAGGTAATTCCACCCCATCCTAATTTATTTCCTACCAGAAATTATGGAATTTCCGACCACATGAAAGTGATCATAAATGAAGTTGTTCCGACCACTTTTGGTATCCAGAACAACCTTTGTTGCTATTTTAGACCGATCACTTTCAGGTGGTCGAAAATTTCATAATTTCTAGTAATGTACTTTCATCATATCTTCAAATATATCTCTTCATGCATGCATGCATCAGTAGTTCTTCAAGGTAAATATATTTATTTAAAACTAACTACTTCATCAATTCAAAATAAGTTAATAATTTATATATATATGTATGTATATTAATTGTTATATTTGTATTTGATTTTGTGTGTGCAGGCTGAAAGATGTGAATGCTGTGACGTCACTCGTGTGAGTGATAGCAGCATTGCGGACGTCAAAATCAGGGAATGCATGGAGAACGAGCTCATTGCATAGTCAAGATGAACAAGTTTAATTTTTTATTTTGTTAACAAAATAAAATTTAATTTTTTTATTGTATTTTTGTTGTATGTTGATATAAAATTATACACCATAACCATCAGTTTGCCCAACTTTGTTTCTTACAAAGTCGGCATAGTATAGGGACGGCATAGACTGCAATTTTGTCACTCATACAAAATCCACCAAATTAAATGCTATTTACTGCAAATTTGGATGTAAATTAGTGTTGTTTAGTACTTCATTAATAGATTTGAATTTGAATTTGAATTTGAATTTTTACCACTTTCATTTCTAGCTAGGTTTGAAAGATATTCATATTCATACTATCATGAATGTTTTTCGACGGCCTACAATTCAGCGAAGGGATTAATTACTGTGTCCGACGGTGAAAATCCTGGGTATACCCAAAATATAAATGTTTTTCAAATTTTTTGCTTTACACACATGAAAGAGAAAGTGCGGGAGAGAAGAAAATGGTTTTGTAGAAAAATGAGTGCTTTTTGTGAGGTCTGGAAGAGAAAAAAAAAAAAGAATGCGCACTAGCACGCCCAACGAACACGGACATATACAGTTACATGATCCTCCCGGCCGGAAGGTATTCAGTCTTATATGATGGTATCCACAAGACAAGATGTACTATTCCTAAGAACCTGCTTTGTTTTATTGTTGAATACATAGTTTTTGGCAGTATATGCTCTTCAAGTAGAATATAATGTTGACATCTTTGTATTGTTTGTTCTATTCATACACTAGGAATTAATAAATTGAAATTCACAAATCTGTCTTCTTCATATACTGCATATATCACAAATGGCTCAAAAGAAAATCCATCAAGTATAAATAAAAAGCAAAAGTTTCCCCCCAGTACGTCGTCTTGATCGATGAATGGCAACAAATGAAATGAAATGCCCCCTAACTAACCTACTTTAATTTTTATGTAATGTCAACTAATCAATCTGCTCGATCGCTCCAACTTTCATGGAACTTCACACTAACCTTGCACCTTGTGTGTCTCAACTTCTTCTGCCTTTTGAATTCCTATCCAGCGCGCATAATCCACCCACCTGCAAAAAGTTCAAACCCCCAGCCGGCTTTGTTAGTTGTAGTTGTTACCAATTCAAATGTTTTGACGAGAAATGGGAAATGAGAGGCTGAAAGATCTTACAGTAATGAACCCAAGAATGTGTTGCCTGTCCGGACAGCGAAGCAAAGTGCGCTCAGAATTAATTTGTGTTGGTGTAGCATTGGCTCTAAAAGCCGCTGTTCAATCACACCAGCCAGCACTTGATACCTGTTGAGGGCGAGAGCGATTTTAGGTGGACAAAGACACAATATAGATCATTTTTCAGTTTTCTTTTTCTGTCCATATATAAACGAGAAATTACAAGAGTTTTCCATCTTGAGCAAATAAAACAAGGTCATTTAAGCAGGAAAAATATAGGTGAGACAACTGGTCGGTCTACCACTTTTGTGTAGAAAATTATATGTATGCATCCAATTTAACATACCGAAGATTGCTAGATACTGCCATATAGACACCATAGGCAACACTGGTTGATAATACAGGTACATTCTCCACCTCCTCTGCAGAGGACTTATCAACAGCCTTTCGTGCATTTATGAGTGCGTTTGTCACAACTGTGCCAACCTGAGCAAGCAAACCATTCGGTTTTATCTTAGGTGTCCGTCCAACTTTAATTGAATAAGAAAGCAGGAAATCACCATGCAACAAGGGAAGAAAATGTTTGGCATTGGCTATTATATAACATTACACAACTGTTAAACAACAATCCAATTTAGCATACAAATACATGTATGTGGTGTGTCTCAATATTACACACACACACACCAAGGTTATGCAACGAGTTGTGGCTCTTAGGTAGAAGCTATGTTAAACAGCAATCTGAATTAGCATGTGTGTGTATATGTATATATATAAACATTATAAATACCAGAGAAGATGTTGTGCCAACTGCAAAGAGCTTGGTCCCATTCCGCTGAAAATTAGATCAGATATTATCAGATTCAATCAGAACAGTCATCAGGTTTCCATGTTATAAAGAAATTTGAATTACGGATTTAGTATAGATATTCCTTACCACTATTGCACCAAGTCTATGCAGCAATGAAAATGTTGTCCCAGGCAGGGCAACCTACAAAAATATGGATGATGAGATACCCTTATTCCTTTACCATATTCATAAGCAGGGGATACTGTATATATAGGATATTAACTTTATTATCATCATTTATCAGCATAGCTAGATGCGTACACCATCAAAGGACTCTAAAGCCCGATGTATGTGCTATGATTGTTAGTGCTATATTGAGTTTGTTTCCCCAATCAGTAATTATCAAAATATCATGCTATTATTTTGAATTTGGGTATTGATACAAAGTTTTTATTAACCCAAACATTAAAAAGAACGTCAAAATAGTGACCTGGAATGCATTTTCCGGACAATTGTGAAAAAACTTAGCAAGGCGTCCAGCATTCAGAGCAATAGGTGATCGGAGAGAAACAGTAGGAGCGGGAAGGTAGACGAGCATGAAATCTGCAATTATGGCCATGACCTATGCAGAAACAGATTACAAATTTAACAAGGGTGAGAATGTGAGAGTTATGTTCAAATATAATGCACCACCCTTCCCTGATAAGAGTGTTGGATATGAAATAAATGTTTCCACACAAGTATAAATGTTCATGCAGCTTAGTTCTTTAAAGATGAAAAAGATTGTTGCCAGACATTAAACTCAATACAATAATATTATGTCCATGTATTAACTGGACATAAATTTCCTCAAATCTCAAACTATACAAAAGCAACATAAATAAAAATGCAAATAGGTTCATCCCAAATCTCAATAATTAAGTCTGCACGGGTAGCTTAGTTGGTTCCTTGGTGGTAGATTATGGGCAAAGACATAGGATCGAGCCTGACAATTGCAATGTGGGAGTTAATATTATGTATCAACTGGACATAAATTTCTTCAAATCTCAAACAATACAAAAGCAACATAAATATAAATGCAAATAGGTTCATCCCAATAATTAAGTCTGCACGGGTGGCTTAGTTTGTTCCTATGGTTCCTTGGTGGTAGATTATGGGTAAAGACATAGGATCGAGCCTGACAATTGCAATGCGGGAGTTAATATTATGTATTAACTCGACATAAATTCCTTCAAATCTCAAACTATACAAAAGCAACTTAAATATAAACGCAAATAGGTTCATCCCAATAATTAAGTCTGCACGGGCAACTTAGTTAGTTCCTATGGTTCCTTGGTAGTAGATTGTGGGCAAAGACATAGGATCAAGCCTTACTCTGAGTCATTTACCCCTCCATTATCAGGGCAAGAGAGGTTGGAGATATTAAAGATGCAGCTATTTAAAATTTGTAATGATAAGCTATCCACTAATCACAAAACAGGGCTGTGATTTGGTAAGTAGAGAAGATGAATGTCATATTGTTTATGGCATACCACATCTGCAAAAACAATTTCCAGCTCATTGAAGAAGTTTTCTCTGCGGCGTTCATACTCAGCAGCAGTCTGCAAAAACAAATCAGTATTTGAAGAGTGAAACGTATGTTGAGAAACAAGAACATCTCATCTATCTGAAGAGGTAAAGTTAGTTAGGATTAAGAAAAATCAAAATAAATGAAAGAATAGTGAGAATAATAAATTTAATGTACCTTGGTGAAGATCCCAACGCCGCATTCCATGGCGACTTTAGCAAGGAAGAGATCGTCGGCCAGGAGACGCTCCTTAAACCCTCCAAAGCGGAGCAGCCACGAGAGAAACCCGGATTTCTCCAGCTCCAAGTAGCGCAGCACTATGGATCCCGGAATCTTCCCGTCCAGGATCGCCGCCTTCAAGTCATTCGGCAAGCTCTCCAGCGACCTCCCCGCCTCCGCCAATGCCATCAGCGCCTCCTCCTTATTGTTGTTGCTCTCGCCATTGTCGTCGTCGTCTCCGCCACCGCCGCCGCCACCGCCGTGAAAGTTTCCTCCATTGACGCCGCCGTCTCCGCCCGCGAGCGAGAGCAGCAAAAAGGTGCGGCGGTTAGGATTCGGTGAGAACGAGACGGAAAGCGGGCGTGCGGCGACGGCGAAGCCTGTGATGGAAATAGCGCTGCGGAGATGAATGCGAGAAGGAAGTATGGGGAGAGTGAGAGAGGAGCATGAGCGCAGCGGCGAGGGAAAGTTGCCGGCGGCGGCGATCGCCATTGTGGTTGTTAACAGTGTTGGTCGAGTAAACAGTTGGTTGGTTGGTAGGTAAGTGAGTCACTGACCCTGACCCTGACCCTGACGCCTGTCTTTCTTCTTCTAATTTTGCCCTTTCATAGTGTTCCATATGTTAGGTTTAAGCGTTTAAAATACGAGGAATTTTGTTCCCACGCACTAGCATTGGAACGTCTACTCTGCGCTTACATGTACTCTCTATTAAAACTCCATTTTTTATTCTTTTATATATATATATAGTAATAAATGATTTGTTATCCTCATTTTGTGTGTCTCGAACAAAATGTCAACATAAATTTTATAAGAGAAAGAGACTAAGAGAGTAAAAATTAAGAGTAGAATTTGAGGGTAAAAGTAGTATTTTACTATTTTCCTTCCCAGATGTAATGACCAAAGCTGCTTCAACTAAGAAAATCCAAAATTTCACTTTTGATTCTTGACTATGGAGACATTGTCTAAATTTTTTGTTATTTATTTATTTTGTCACATTATATCTTTGACTTTTATTTGTTTAATTTTATGAGTAAATTACTAAAATGGTCCCTCGACTATGTTGATTTCACTTTTTTAGTCCTAGTCATTTTAATTTGGCTAATTACATCATTCAACTATCAATTTTTAACCATTTTGGTCCTCCGGTGATTTAAGGCACCAAACTTCTGGTAAGTATAAGGGTAATAAAGTAATGTGAGTATAATTTGCTCTAGTCTAGGATCATGTCGTCAGGACGTGGTCACCCCGTCAGTGCACCGCCTTCATATGGAGGTCTCTGCCGGAGGAGAAACACGACTTTTTTCTTCGCGCCTACCGTCATCAGCTCCTACCTTGACTTTGTAATAGAAAATGCCAACGAGATTCACCGCAAAAACCAAGATCGCCTACTGTACACCAACTCTCGCAGCAGATCTCTAGACTTCCGCGGCCACCCTTGGGAAGCAGTTCCTTTCAATCACCAGATTTGTTGCGAAATACAGTAACTAATATTCAGTAAATTAAAACAAATCCCACCTAACAGAAGCAATAGATTTTTTCATTGGAAACAATGATCAAAACAAAAGCAAAGCCAACAGGAAAAAAAAATGGACTAAATAGACTTATTAGTCGAATGGAAGTTATTTATTCAATATTTTTTTTCAATCAATATGAATGATACAATTGTTGAAGTAAATCTAATACTGGCTGACAGATTTCCCTAGCAAGAGAAATGAGATATTTCTCTGACAAGGTTAATTTGCACTGTGTGTGTATATATACATAGCAAAAGCTGAATAGCCTGTTGAAATTGGGATAATCCATTTGGATCAATGATATAAAGATTATAATTATAGTCTAAACAAATAAAGTTCTCACAAAAGCATTAGTTGAAATTCTTGTCTTGATTTCATCTAGAAATTACATATTCCAACGTTCTTTAAACAAAGGTTTGGAAATTAACTCATAATCCTAAGTGCATTTCTGAAAGAAGGCACCGATTTTTCGTGTCGCCTGAGGAACTGGCTTATCGTTGGAGCGACTGCGGCTTGCTTTGGACTGTTGATGGGACAGCTGCGAAGGCATCGGGAGAGAGGCTAGGAGGAAATCGCTGGTGGGGTGGTGGCTCTTGACGGCGACCCGTAAGTGCCCGAGATTTACAGTCTTCCTCTTCTTCTCTACTGCGACTTCCGCCGACTTTTCCGCGAGGAATTCGAGAAAGAGCTTGGTGGATCGGGGGATGATAAACAGTGCCTCCGAATTCACCTTCTTGACCCTTGAGAAACAATTCCGTTCAAGAAGAGCAAGAGAAGAGGGCAATAGAGAGTTTCACAGTGAACTTCCAATAATATCCTTAAAAAATTGCCGTTTAAGTTGTCGGAGGACCAAAACAGTTAAAAAATTATTAATCGAAGGATATAATTAGTCAAATTAAAATAACTAGGACTAAAAAGGTGAAATCAACATAGTCAAGGGACCATTTTGATAATTTGCTCTTTATTTTATTTATTTGTCACAATTAGTCATTTATTTAAACTAGTATAGCACCCATGCGATGCACGGATAGTAACATATATTCAATATTATACTCATAATATTTGTTCTATATGTCCACAAACATAAACATTAATGTTCATAAGCACTACACTAAATATACACACTCTATAGTAGGTTCATAATGTTCATCAAAACAAAGCTTAATGGGTATAAATATTAGGCTAAAGTGTCAAATCGCACCATGAACCAATTACGATTTGTCATGCTGCACCCTGACCTTTCATAAGTGATAATTCGATGCACAAACTAAAAAATTTTGTCCACGTAGTCTTTTTTACAGGTAGCCTTTAGGTTATAGGTAATAACTTGGTGATGTGGAGGTGATTTGGCAGACATGTGTTTTATTTTGTAGACGTGACAGCCATTTCAGCCGTTTAATTGAATAACCCAAAATATGACTTTCCAGTCATCCGCGTTGTGGCCGGCGGCAGGCGGTGTTCAGGCGACTGGAGTGTCGCCAGATTCTGGAAATTCCTGAAAATCTTCATAAATCAATCTGAAGGTTCAAAATCAGATGCAATCAGCCACAACGAATGTATCCACAGAGCCTTTAACAAAATCATACACGGCGAACTGAAAATTCCAGAAAATCTTCATAAATCATTCTGAAGGTTCAAAATCAGATGCAATAAGCCACAATGATTGTATGAATCTCCGGAGCCTTTAAAAATATCATACACGACGAATACACAAAATATTGCATAGAAATCAGTGATTGCTGAAACAGAATCTGGAAATATCCTAGAAAATGCGAAAATTGTTCCCGGACAAAAAATCAACGCAACAACAACATCAACAAATTGGAGCATCTCACGTTATGAATTTTGAAGCTGCAGCAACGAATTGGAACAACATTTATGAAAGAAATCAGCATTGCTAGTTATGGGCCTTAATTAATTTTAGGATTATTGCTTTGTGAAGATTATTTCATCATCAAGAGCAGCAAATCTCGACTTACCAATTTCAATGTGATTGCTTCCATATTTTCCTCTCCCCTCTTTATTATGATCAGCCATCTTTCCTTGAGGAGAGGTCCAGCCGAGCCACTGCCGAGTTTCGTTACCGCCTTAAGTTGCCAACTTGCTCTACATCCAGCTACTGCCGTTGACGAGGACAGGAACCATGGAGTTGAGCACCCTGCTTCCGCAACCGGTCGTCACTGCTGCCTTCCACCCAAATTGCCGACTTGCTGCGAACAACCGGGGGTACAGATTCGGGTCGCCCCGCCAAGATACGAGCTCAGTCCATCTCAATCACAAACAAACAAGCTACTTCGCTAAAACCACATTCCAATTCAGATTCCCAGGTTTCAACCAAACGCCCTCTAAGTAATCGTTGCAAGAAAGCAGTAGAATTTGGGAGAAGAAAGCAGTATAATTTCCCAGTAATCACAGAAATTAAAGCATAATATCTAAGAAAAATACAAGGAATTCAGGACCAAATTTGGGAGAAGAATGAAAGGGCGGTTGATTTCTTTTTGGCGAAAATTGAGAAATCATTGGCAAATCAGAGAGTCGCGATGTTGAAGTTGATGCTCTGGTAAGTGGACGACAAAGATTGAAAAAAAAAATAGCTCATTAGTTTATTTGACTAAGCAAATAAAATAAGTTCACCAGCGCCATGTCATCAAGGTAACAGGGAAACCTGTAAAAAGAGTTAGACAAAATTTTTTGGTTTGTGCATGGAATCATCACTTATGAAAGGTGCGTAATAGTTCTAATACGAGATAAATAGTGTTGTATGTTACAATGTATTGATACTCAACTAAATACTTATATATTTTTAAGCAACAACAGAAATTAGGTATTGTTTTTAATGAAGGGATAATTATTTTAGGGCTTGTTTGGAAATTTGAAAAATGACTCCCGAATGTTATTTTTCAGGTTTTTACAGCACGTTTGGTTCACGGAATGAATTTGGAGGGAATAGGAATGCTATTCCACATGGAATGGAATAGGTAAGGAATAGAATATGAATTGTATT